TCTTTGTTGCTTTAAAAATCTTTTTCGGGAGCATGAACTAAAGAGTCAAGAGACGAACATTCTATCGACCACTCACCGTATCTTCCCGCCTCTCCCCATATCTCAGCGGCGCTTTCCTTGCGGCGTTTGCTCTCTCTCTCTCTCTCTCTCTCTCTCTCTCTCTCTCCCCTGTCTGATCCACCTCATGGCTAATTACTGGAGGCACTATTTCGGAAATAGTACATAGTCAGTTGTAGTAGGCAAAGAATCGATGCATCGTTTGGCTTCGCACATCCTTCGCCATATCAGGGCCGCTCGCACTGCTGTTGAACGTTGTTGCTGCCGTAGCTCAGATCTTAGTCACCGATCCGTTGTTCTGAGCAGTCGGCCTGCCCAAGACAACTGGCGTAGTATTCGGCTCGAGCGAGCGAGCGAGCGAGATTCGGTCACTTGATCGTATTGGTTTCCTATTCAAGGGTGTCTGATTCATAACGAGCAAATCACTGCGAAGCCAGATACGGTGCAGCCACTGGATCTTCGGCGATTACGTTTGGCGGCGATCAGCCGTCAAGCGATGGATGCGGAGGAGGCAGCGACGGCGGCTGAAATGAGCGAGCGCCTGTATCAAGATCTATACTGACCTCAAGCAAGAAAGAGAAAAGCGATAATAACAACAACAACAACAACAACAAACAACACTGGAACGAAAAAAAAAAAAAAAGTAGAACAATACATGTAAGTAAATACAGATACCGCGAGAGGAGTGTGCGGCGAGAATAAACATGTCCCATCTAAGGGCAGACACTGGATCATGGGCCCGTGTCGAACATGATTAAAGTAACTCGACTCAACGTCTTTGTTGGTATCGTCCTGGTCGTCCGGATGAACTCAATAATTTCAATAGAGTTTATTAAGCTGGCCCAGCAATTGAACAGGTATTAACGAAGGGGGAAGGATGAAGCTCCGACTCTTTAGTGATGGCTATACGGCCGCTGGTAGCCCCGCATAGCAAACCTCTTAGTGTATTATAGATCGTGAGGGATGCATAGCGACTGAAGATCTCAAGCTGGTCGCGGTACCGATAGCTGTGTTGACCGGATCTTCTCGCGTCTGAGATCTGAAGCTTTGAAGGTTACGTGCGCCTCGAGTGGAGAGACACAGCATTACGGTTCGACCGTGTATTCATATTGTGTAGTCGTACAATAGATGACGGCACAATGTTTTGATGTCATAACCGTGGGCTGGCTAGTACACCATGGACGCTAGGTATTGTCAGAGGGTTTCCTTATGAGAGTTTTGATTGAAATGGGGGCTAAAAAACAGAAAAAAGCAAATTGGGTAAAAACAGGAAAGACGTAAGCAGACGAGAGTCATCAGGTTATTGGCGCAAATATCCTGGCACTGGTTTATGGTCATGCTTTTGCAGGCTTTGCTCGATAGGCCTCAGAGAGACAAGATATTTTTCATGTTTTACACCGAGTGCTCTTTGCTCATCTTCAATGACGACTTTTTTTTGTCATCGACTTCATCTGACTTCATTTTTTGGGGAGCGGGCGGGGTAGGGGGTAGTTCAAAAAAGTTGTGGGGCAACCTGACTTTGCCCGCTTTGAGAAGGTTAGTGGAAAAAAAAAAGCTACATAGTGAACCCACGCGATGTCGTGACCAGCACAGGTGAGACAAACCTATACACTTCCTCTCGGAGTGAACGTGAAGCTGTCGGCTCTCAGATGTTGTCCATCCGGAGGAGGAGTGCTTTAGAATACAGTGATTGAGCACTACGATATACCTTACACAACAAGAGCCACGATAATGATAGCAATCAACTTGGCCACGAATACAAGTGCTGCCTAGGAACTTTCCCTGAAGTCTGTGATTACTCCGTCGCTTAGGCAATGCTATACTGTTTATCGATGTATTCGTTGATACGTTACTGCGTATTTTTGCGGAACGTACGCACAGCCAGGTGGAAATCTTCAATCCCGAGGACCACCGCTTCGTCCACCGGCCATTTTGCCATATTAATGCGATCCGACTGAAGCTGAAGCTGATTACGAATGGTAGCGGATTAGGCTTACAAAATAAGTTTAACTCGTTGATAATATTCGCTGAATTGTAAACCCACAATGGGATAGTTTTGAGAGTTTGTATGATATATATTTTTGCCTATTGACTCGAAAAATGCACTATTGGATTTTTGCGTTCAGAAGATATCGAACAATCTGCTAACGCCAGAGTTATTTTGCCCATGTGCCATTTACGAGAAAAACGGTTACCATTGGAATACCGCTTTCTTTGCGCAACAGCGCCAGCGGTCGTATTATGATCTAGTTATAAAAACTAAGTGAAAATTGACTCCAATTGAGAATTTTACCTAATCTATCCATTAAAAGGTAGAAAGCTCCGGTCACTGTGAATAGGCTTGTTCGAAGCTGTTGTACAGCTGCCTGTTTGCACTCCGCGCTCCCTTAGGCCGTTATATTATTTTTTCCTGAGCTCAGCTCAGCTCAAGTGTATAGTGAAGATCCACAGTCGTCGCAGATTCAGTCAATGAAAACCTTTATTTTTGTTACAGCTGCTACTGCTGCTGCTGCTGCTGCGTGGCGAAGCAGCAGTAACAAAATCCTACTGATCCTCAGCCTTACCATCCATGGGGACAACCTAAATATGACAATGACATCACCGCCGTAGGATTCTGCTTCCGTCTGGCCCCATAGGACCACCAGGAGTACACGTACAAGTTGAAGCCGTTCTGGTGCGTGCAGAAGCACTTGAGTGTCACTACACCGTCTATGGCAAACGCCGACACCTTGGTACGGGCCCCATCGGACTGAATAAAGCCAGTTGGCCGTTCCGCTACCCCTTTGTAAGCTGAATTTTTGAGTTTCTTTACAGTGACATACAGGCGACCGCTTTGGTCGCCTGCATGTCCCTGTAGAGCTGCGGCTCCTCGCTGATTCTTCTGTTTTAACTACTTTGGATTTGGTAGTTGAGCCCCCCTTGAAGGAACGAGCGGCCGTTTACATGTCGTAGCCTGTAACATCGGCGTTGTTCTTGCTCGCGCTGTTTCCCTTTGGATATGCCGTGCTGTTGTCGCTAATATTGCCGACGTAGGTCATCAGCGTCAATGTGCGATACTGCGGCGTTTGTCTCATTCGAACATCCGGTGCGTGCTTAAGGCTGCCGTCGTCGCTGCCGCAAATGTTGGCGGAGCGGTTAGGTCCGGCGTTAAGTCGTATAGGGATGGTTGTAGCTGGGGCGTCTTCAGGAATTGCTGTGAAGCGTAGTTACAGAACAGCGACGGCCCGCTGTGTCTTGTCTCGCTGCGGATATGCTGGGACCAGAAAACGGCCGTTGTTTGAGACGGTCATGTGTGTTTGTCTAGCCGTATCCATGTATGTGCAGGTATCGACAGGGGCAGACTGTATAAGGCGACCGATAAACTAACATCTCCTGTGTTGTCAACTTTTTGTTCGCTTATTTCCGAAGTCATGGGCGTCCCCAATGTCTATCCGTTCTACGACAGGCAACCCGGTGTCACATGGCAGCACGTCATACATCTTCAAGCTATTCGTTACAGTGAACATGACGATGCCCCCACATTGATTTTGTCACCGATGGAGCAATGCCCTCCCAGGACCTTACAATGATGTTGCACGGCATTTTCACACTGTGATCTATGATAGAAAACACAGTAGAATGTATAGAAAAAAGTGTACCGCGAACGCCTACCGTATGTCACCGTATACTGTGCAGCAGTTTCCTGGGCAGCTTCTGTGAGCGGCTCATCGGTAGGTTGGGCTGGGTCGAGTTCGGTTTATTCTTCATGACTCTCCCTTTTCGCGCTTTTCCCTCTTCGACGTTGAAGCTTCCGCTGTTGCGTCCGCTTCGACCGTTGTACGTACAAACAAGTAAATCTGTCTCTAGCTTCAACGTATGTGCGCTCGGCATTGTAATGGAGGACCGCACCAAAGAAAGATACGCCGCGGGACTCCTACACTGTCGAGTAAACGTTTAGGGGAGTTCAAGCCGCGTCAGCGTTCGTATGTATCCCGTCGGTAATCGACCCGTTGATTTGTCGTAGCCACCATCGTTGTAGTTTATCTGTAGATGCTGTTTTCCATTAGAGAATCGATCGTCTGAGAAATTACGACACAGAAAACAAGTAAAACAAAACAAAATCGGAAAAACATAGCAAAAGGGGAACGATAGCTAACTTGACGTTCGAATTGAGAGTTTCTCAGCGTACGTGCAAATGTTTTGTATATACCATAGGCAATGTAAGATGAATGCTAGGACGTTGTTGTCGTTGGCAGTGCTGTTGGGCCGTGCCCTTTTCTCTATCTCTTGTGGCTTATTCCTGTCCTGTTCCATTTATGTTCTTTCGCCTGTCTCTGGGCCTCTGTGCACAGTCATATTTATTCTGTTGCTGCCTGTTGGGTTTCTCTAGCCGTCGGAGTAGCCAATTTCCCCGCGATCAATCGCTGGTACTCGTTCGGTCCTACACGAGCCAGCTAAGGTAAGCGTATTGCTTGACGGCGTTCTATTGTCGTCGCCAGCCGTTTATCCCGCCACAAGCAAATCACCAGCTACCGGCGCGTCCATCGGTCCATCTCTCAGCAAACAGGTGAAGTGAAGACGCGAGCTATTACTATTGCCTACTAGCGGGACGTTTGTACTTTAGTAGAGCGTCGTTGAATCCGTCCGTGGGACGTCGCTTCGCACTCGTTCAAATCCACATAGCCGGCGGCGTAACCGTCGTAGAAGTAGGCTAGTAGTCACTTAGCCGTAGGCTCAAATGAGCCTGCAGTGAGTTACTGTCATCTAGGCGTCGAGTGCAGCGCCCTCACACGGAAAGAGCTTCATCAGCAGCAGTAGTAGTAGTAGTAGTGCCGGCAGCACAAGCGCGGTCGAGCAGCAGCAACAGCAGCAGTAGCAGCGGCGGCGGCGGCAACGGCCGCCATTGAGAGAGGAAGCAAGGCTGTCTGGCTGTCTCTGGCGCTGCCTAGCGAGCCAGCGAAACATTGAACGAAGCACATGACAGGGGTCGAGTCTAGTCAGTCGAGCTAGAAAAGTCACAGGGAGAGGATCACCGACGGAGCTGTTTTCCGCGAAAGACACACTGAGAGGACGGTGGAAAGGGAGTCCGTCATCAGTGCATCATCCCTCGCTATTGTAAGGTGGAAATTAGAATAAGGCCGTCGTGTTGTTACGTATCGTAGAAGTCAACTCTTCTGTCAGAGTGGCGACAGTTTGGCGCTTGTCAGTCGCTGCGTATACTATACATGTACACTAGTGAAGAAACGTACGGGAATTTTTGTCGTCGGCCAATCGCGATTTTTTGTATCAATCGTAATAGTTGCATTAGTACAAATCATCTTACTTGCAAGCATCGTTCGTCGTCGTCGCCGACGCCGACACCTCCGCATCACCGTTGAGTGATCGATCTTCAGAGAGTCAGACTGGACGTGCGTATCGCGAAAGACATCAGATACGAAAAAGGGGCAAGACACATGTGTCCGTCTGTTGTTAGAGTTTGTGCGCGATCCGAGGGCGAGAGCGAGTTGAGACTCGATTGTTCTAATTATTCAATAACGGAAAGATCAATCACGCCTGGATACTTCATCATCAACTAGGACATCATTAACAGAAGAGAGCCACCGAATAACACGTTACGTGAAGTGACGCGACCGACCGACTGATCAATCAATCAACGGCTCGTTGCTTATATATTTTGAGCTTTTCGTTTCGCTGTGCGAGGCGGCCCATCGTGCGTGAATGTGAATCTACCGTTTACTATTTTGTTGTATATGTTTTTGTGCGCGGATACTGAATTTCTGTTGTGGTGCCAACCGACAGCTGGAACTGAGATCGACGAACACTCCAGAGGAGATCTCTCTTGGCTGCAGCGTTACGAGGGCGTGCTATTCACGCACCTATTTCCTGATTTATGCGAACTGTGAAGCGAATACGGTTTTGTTATAGAAACTTGGAGAATAGCTGGGCTGTGTCGTTATGGACGTGGATTGGAACCGAGTTCCGCCTATGGGCGAAGGACTGATCGCTCATCTTGCCCATCTGCCAATGCAGGATGAACCAATGGACCTGCAGAGCCCTCGTAATCGGCAGGCACCTGTCAGTCTGGGAGGACAGACTCCTAAGCGAGTGGGCATACCACCTCGTGTTTCATCAACCCCTACAGTAAATACTGCCCTTCTTGAACAGAGCAACCCAAATCATCAAAGTTACTCGTCACCTCAACAGCAGTCCCAGCACCAAGATTCTTCAGTTCAGAACCCTCAAGCGATTGGGTACTCGCCTAAGGCACCTGTAAAGATGTCGCCTCGCTTCATGAAGAAGCCGCCACCTCTAAAATTTGTTCCGTTCGCCGAAGAAGATGAAGACTTGCGTGACAAGATCGACCCAGATTCAAGTCAACAAAACGGAGCAGCAGGTGAGAGGACTCAGAAGCGAGTTATCCAATTAAATCATCACGATGACTCTTGTGATGAGCGGAAATTCATGAGCATGTTAGGTTAGAGGTGAGTAAGGTCAACTCACCATTCAGTGGCCGAGCCTTCAGTCTATTTTAATGTCATCGAGGACGGTTGAATGGCATTAGAGATCCGGTGGCTACGGAGTTTTGCATCCCGAATTTCCGAGACCTCCGCAATAGGCGACAAACACCCACTACGAAAGATGTGCACAGGACGTTCCGTAGAATAAGAGAGAAAATATAGCGTAAATATGTTCAGTGTCACTACCTTCTGTACCAGTAGACACCTGCGACAACCGGCCTATTTCAAACAATTCGCAGTACCGCTGTATGTGAAAAATTATTGTAATTTTAGTAAAACAGATCTCTATAAATGGCCATTAAATTTCACATAAACAAATGTTTAGAGTTTTACATCCGGTTCTTTTACTCCCTTCAGACGGCCAGCGCCTTCACACTAGACCCCGCGCTGCATTCCCGATCACCCATGCATATTGTCTGTATAATTACTAAATGTCATTGTTTAGGTGAAACAATAGAATATACTTACTTATCAGTCCGATCGCTCGAAGCAGAGAGACCTAAATCCTATATTAAACCTGTATCTGTCCCGCGCTCGTCACCACATAGCGTGTTTCTACGAACTTTTATTGCGTTTTTTAATTTTCCCACTGCTCCTGTTTCAAACGAAAGGCGTTTCATGGGTTCGTGAACGGAATGTCCTCACTGCATCGAACACTCGGGCAGAAAGAGGAACGAATTACTCGTTGAAGATTATTTAGCTCTGACCACAATAGAAGAAGAAGAACTTTAACGCTCTCGGATCTTTCCTCGTGTATTATTGTCGATAGTTAGTAACGGGCGGCGATGGTACTGCACCGTATCTACGGTACCTCTCATTGCCCCGCTTGTCAAGTAGCGAGCAAAGGCAACGTTAAGAGGAATCCTGGACAATCCAAGACAAATCTGTTGCGTTCGTATAGGATTCGATCACTGCTGCTAAGGTCATGTCATTGTTGAATTGGGATAGCAGCATCGGCAGCTCTTATCACTCACCGCGCTTTAGTTCTATTGTACGTAATCGTCCGCTGCCACAATTACAGTCCACGATGTTCGGGGCGATATGAGGACAGCAGCAGCAGCAGCTGTCGCGACAGTGGTCGTAGATACAAATATTGACAAGGAAACTCGACGTTATCGTTAACGTTTAGCTGCTTTTTTTTTTTCTTTTTTTCTCTTAATCAACTCACTCCTGGCCTCGCTGCAGGAGGAAGTAGGCACCACTATGCCATCAAGGCATGATCACCTCACGAACACGTTCTCAGTTAGTCATCAATGCGATTTTCTAGTTTCTCCACTATCTCACGTTGATTGACGGTTCCACTAGCAACGACAGAAGTGATGGCGACTGAAAGCAACATTTACCATTCATAACAACCGGAAAATATGCTCTTTCCTCAAAATTAATCAGCGTATTCATCCGTTCGTTTGACCGGGTGTCCGTCAGTTTCCTTTGTTGTCTACGCGCGGTCTGTCATATCACTCTACTCCAATAGCAGTAGCGGCTGTTACTGAAACGCGGACGGCGACCGAACGAGCAAACGGACAACCGCAAAAAAAAGCGACAAGCGTTGCTACTAGTCCCTTGATCTCCGGTCTCGAGACGGCGAGGTCTTCATGGTCGACAATAGATGACCGTCGGCCATTTTTCAACGATCACAATGTATAGCGACATTTTGTTTTCGTTGTCACCTTTATAGCGGCTCATTAACGCCCTGCGGTCCGTATCTAATTTACACCTAATAGATGTTCGCAGAATTATTTGTGGACGGGATGCTCGATGGCGAGTGACAGACCAACGTCTGTCTTTCGCCATCCAGGCAGAATGTTAGAGACAGAATTATGGGAACTAAGGAGCGTCGATTAACATCAACTTGATTGAGCTATATCAGTCTGTTGTTGAAGTCTAACCATATACCGATGCGTCTATATGTGTATATATATATATATATATACATATATTTGCTACAAGTTGATAGAACTTGTCGTTCAGCAGCAGTCATCTTTAAAGAGTTGTGAACCGCTGCCGTCTGCCACCCACATTTTCGTTTTTTCAAGAGTGTACATACATGCATTCCTTCGACCAGTCGCCGTGAGAATTTTTTTATGAAGGCAAATTGAGGCTTCATAGGGATAGCCAGCTTGGTTTTTGTGGGAGTGATTCGAGAGTTCACGGGCATCAAGCATCGCGCGTATATACGCCTTCTTGTAACAGCGTTGTGTGTACTTCGATAAGTCTCGAAATGTTTTCGTGACCTTTTACGAAAGACGGACGGCGAACTGCTTGGCGGCCAACTCGAGTCCATCTGAATGTCGGACGTTGGTTGGACACGGCCGCTTAGTTCACTGATTCTGCCGGGGTTAAGAAAAGCCCCAGTAGCATTTACTATGGTAACGTACAGAAGATTCGCAGCAAGTTTATTAGAAACCAGGTGGTTCTGTCAGCCATCAGCCGCTTCAATGGCGGCTTTGTAGATTACTACTGGTCTTGAGCGCGATCTCGCTTCTACTGACGAACGATTACAGATCAATGAAGAAGACAGGAAACCGTAAGAGGCGCTTTTTCTTTTTTATTAGTAATCATTACTCGTGTCGTCGAAGGCAACGCTTCCTCACGTACGATCTTTTTGAGGCAACACGTCATTTTCGTCTGTTGTCATTGTCTGCATGCAGCAGCTTCTAAACTGCATATTATACTTATCAACCCACCCAGTAAGGGGTCACTAGCAAACAACTATGCAAAAAAAGTCTTCGCTTTGATTCACAAATGATAGAACCATAGCGTATTTGATTTATATTGTATTTTTGGTTGTTCATAGCTACCCCGTAAGGTTGCAGCGATCGTTTAACTTGACCAAATAGCATCTGTGTAGAATTTACGTAGAATTCGGGCGTTTCTTCCTTGCTGGTTGGGTCAGTGCCGGCCATTGTGTAAACCGTGCGCCCTCCGCCTCCGCCTTCGCCTTCGCCCATACTCATGGCGGACTGAGTCGCCAATGTGTTCCTTTTTTCTTCGCCCTTTTAGGTCTATTTCTCGTCGAGAGGTCTGCTCCCTTGGCCATCGGCCAAGCGCTGTGTCGCCGCCGATGACGAGATCTCGAAGTGGTGCTCAGCGTCTACACTTAGGTAGCGCGCAACCATCCTAGCAATTTGAGCCTCGTGGAGAACTGGAGGCGCTGCCGCTACTGCCGGCCACGATTCTGGTGCTGGTTTGCGACAACAAGATGCTGCCCGCTTGGTTCGTTGGTCGTCTTCTTGGTGGCTACTCGTCGCCCGATCGTTCCCGTTCCTACAAAAATGTTCTATTTCTTCGTCGTGGTTGTCTGCTGCTACTTCGTGCATGCGTGTATGTGCCAGGCACGGTCGCCACTTGTACGACTGCAGCGACCATAACTGGCGTTGTCTGCCTGTCTGCTGGTTTACTTGCTTCGACCGAACGAACGAGTAGCCCTCGGATAGTTCGTTCGTCTTTCTCTGGCACTTTTCTGTTGCGGCTCCAGCCGGCGCAGCCTTTGCTTCGATTCTTAGTTGAACCGACATAGAAGCGGCAGGATCGAGAGCGGAAAAGCATTCTTGAGCCGCCCCCTATCTGGAGACGGCGCAGCACTCAGATCGATGTACGGACGGACGGACTCTCACCAGGTCGACTTAGTCACTTGCGTGGCGATCCTACGAGCAAAATTCAACAGCGAGCGTCGAGTAACAGCAGAAAACTCTATCCGCTGTTGTCGTCGTTCCAATATTGCCTCTCTCCGTGCGATCGTTAGGCTGTAGCCGTGACTAAGTTGTACGGGCATGGCTGTGTTAACTGGTATAGGCTTCTTCGACGACGATTCTATCCGACGAGCCTATTATAAACTTAAGCCGAGCAGCAGAAAGACCCTATTTCTTTCTAGAGAGTAGAGAACGCGCGAAGCGTCAAGCGAGTCAAAATAGCACTAGTGCATGGTGCGCATGGGCGCTTGGCTGTAGGCAAATCCAATTATTGTCATTATAAAATGTAAAAAAAGAATACGATGCATGAAGCTAAACATCGCTTGCCCCCAGACAGGGGGAGACGCCTATGGTAAAGGTCAACAAAGATGCCACAAGGCGATACCTTAACGTAGAACGGCCTGAAACAATAGCAGACGCGATCTGGGAAGAGCGTTTTAATATCCACATATCGTCATAATAATCATCATAATAATGGATGCTCTTCGAATTTTCCACAATGTAACGATCAAATTAAACAGTGTGACTAACAATCAGCGATAACAGCCTTGGTCTTTGCTTGGCCGGAATTCCGTACGCTGATTGAAAACGTATCGATTTCCCTGTGGCCGCCGGTTAAACCTAGGTACAGGGTTAAGTTCGTCTTCGGTTATTGCATCATTTAGTACTAGCCGTAACTCTATCATTTCTCATGGGTGAACTTGGTGTCCTTCCGTTACTGCTGTCGCTGTCATAAAAGAAATTCTGGTTCAACTTGACCCACTAAATTATGAATCAAGATGGCGCGAAAACGGGGCTTGGATCCATAGTCAACTCTATGCTATTTCTCTGCTTTGAGAGCTAGTTGACATTCATGCATTCAATACACCGAGAGCGCGATTACTTTACATAGCCATAACCGCTTGCTGGGTTGACGGCGAACCCATTGGCGTTCGTAGGAATAGTGATCAATATCGTGGCGTTGGTAGCAGCTTTTGACCGGATCGCAGTAGCATCGTATTAGATTTTGCCTATTTTGAGCAAATTGCCGTCGTTTTCTACTATCTAAACCTTAGCTAGCCAGGAACAACATTCCTTCGACACCGACCGATTATGAACCGTGAGCGCCCCCGGAATTGACTTTGTTCTCCATGTTTTCACGTCTATCTTGGTTTTTTCGCTGGTACTTAGCTACTTGTTTCTGC